GGGGGAGAAGGGGGAGAAGGGGGAGAAGGGGGAGAAGGGGGAGAAGGAGGAGAAGGAGGAGAAGGAGGAGAAGGAGAAGGAGAAGGAGAAGGAGGAGAAGGAGAAGGAGAAGGAGAAGGAGAAGGAGAAAGCCTGATTCTCCCCGTATAAAAATTCTCTCTCGTGGCAATACTGCAGTAGCTAAGACATAGGGCTTGACACCTCTTCCGCTGCATGAAGATTCAGAAATTCGAAGTCGAGCCACAGCTCCCCTACTCTTCTGCCTGTGGAGCACCTACTACCAATCTATTCCTGGGGAGGATTTTCTAATGAAAACCAGATAACATAAATCGAACCTGGCCCAGAAATTTCAATAAATACAGACTTGGGAATCTGATGGACAGAAATTAAATTGCCAGCACTCCACACAGCTGGACACCTTTCCTGTTGATAGTTTGAAAATATGATTTTTTAAAATGCAAATAACAAATTTGCATGGAAAAGAGGTAGAATCTTCTTGTGTGTTGCTACGGGGTATTTTACTTGGCATATGACTTTCCCTAGACTTGAAAGGATCAATAAAAGAAAAAGGGCCTTCATGGTTTTGTGGAAAAAAACTGAGGGCAGTACTAGGGGAGAATCAAGCAGAGAAAGGAGAACCAGAATGGATCATGATTCAGGGTCAGCTCTCTACTGCTTCCAGGGTTCGTCTTCAACCTGTCTAGGGAGTACTAGGTGGACCCTCATAAGAGGTTTGCATCAGCTAGGACGGGGCAGTTCTAATGGTCACACAGCACATTGTTAACCACTGTGTCTCACCCCGGTTGCCCCTGCCAGCCCCATCAGTGCATGTAACCCCGCTTCTTCCTATCCTTCAGATACTTGGAAGGCAGCTCTCATGGCCCTTGGTTTTCTCCATGATAGTCACCCACTTCTAACCACTTCTAAATACTTCCTTTACTCTTTGGAGACTGTGCGGCTACACTGCAGGGCCTATGACTCGACTCCAGATGGTTGCCTAGATACAAAAGAGGCCAGGTGAACAGAGGTAAGATGGTTTCCTCCCTTCTGCTTCAGGGAAGGCCTTTTCACCTGTGACTCCACACTCAAGACACACCCCTTCCCACATGATCTGCCACCAGCATCCATGGCCAGAAGAGGCTGGTGCTGACAGCAAACAAGTGGCATTTACAGACCCTTACTGCCACCAGATACAACCAGGCATTTCACCCCTCACAGAAACCCACAGGCAATAGGTATTCTCATAGATGATGGCATGACTGTAGTTTGTCTGTGGTCACAGTAGAGTTCTGGGACCTGCTCAAAGGGACAACCAGAAGTTCAACTTGTTTATGGCCTGCCTTCTTCCAGAAGAAGCCACTGAGTAAACCACCGCCCCCTTCCTTATGTTTTCCTGACTCAGACATTCATTTGTTAAAATAAAAATACAAGAAATAGCGAAATTAAAACAATAAAAACAGGTCTAATCTTGAAATGGTGCTCAGCCACCGAGAGGGGCTGGGATGGAGAGCTAAGCCAGGCTTGTCACTCCGGGCCTCCACACTCACTTGGTTTTGGGAATCTGTCCAAATGATGTGTCTGCCAGGGGATGTGTCATGAGAATGGAGCTAATTACCCACAGAATCCACACATTGGTGGAACCTATCACCAGAGGGAAACGGAGGTTATCTCAAGCCCTTAGTCAGACAGGCGGCCAAGGAGACATGTACTGGCTAACCTTGAGTAACTTCGCCCCGAGCTGTCACAGGATGACTGCTTTGAGGACTCTGCAAAAATGAGGGCTTGAGTCCAGGAGTCTCGGAGCCCCTGGGGGCCACGCACTGGGGGAAGTCTGCTCAGAAGCTCTGTGCCTCCTGCCCCACCGCCTACCTCGCTAACTGCCCACACTTCACTCTTCTTGTCTCTACCAAGGTCTAGCTCCAGTCTTCGCTCTTCCAGTCGTTTTGCTGGCAGTAGGGAAGGGGAAGCCACTGCTGTTCGAGAAAACAACAGTCCCGGCCAACCAGACCGTCACAAGGCCAGGGAGGAGGCGGCCGTGGCTAATCAAATCCGAATGCGGACCCAGCTCAGGGGTGGGGACCCTGGGTTGGCCGGACAGATGCAGGCGGGGCGGGCCCCCCTCCTAGGAGAGGTGGAAAAGATTGCTGCGTGGCACCTCGCTTTCAGGCTCAGCTGTCCTCGGGGCAGAATACAGATGGGGCCTCTGCCGGGCAGGACCTGGGCAGCGATCATACCCGCTGCGATCCCTCAGTTCCGACACCCTATACCTGTCTCTACTCTTTCCAAGCAAACCCACTCCAGCCGCCACTGGTTCTCCCATAGCGGCTGGGACCCAGTAGCTGTCACCTCTGGACGTCGCCTCAGCAAAGCCAAGCCTCAGCTTCTTCAAAAGCGGCTCTCTCTTTGGAACAGTCAGGCGAGAGTCCTGGTGACCTTGTCCCCTTCCCCACCCATCTCATTTATCCTCCAAGAGTGGGTGCCCCAGGCTCGGTGCCGGCTTCCAGTCCTTCCTGAACGACCGTTCAGGAGAGCCGGAGTCTTGATGTCCTCTGTCAGGTGCCGAGCCATAGTTTTAAGTAACTCTTCCCGCCGACTTCACTGCACTTGGACGCGATCTCGTCGCTATGTTCCTCCCCCAGAGCCCCTCCCGCAACCCGCAGCTCCCCGCATCCCCCGGTGCCCCGGTGCCCCCAGTCCGGCAACCCCGCACCTTGCCGCAGCGGCGCGCGCGCCAGCTCAGACCGGTCCTCGGGGAAGGCGTCGCGGAGGCGTTTGCACAGGCGGCCCAGGTCGGCGAAGCTGCGGTGCAGGTAGAGCACACTGCGGTCCGACCACTCGGTGCGGATCTCGAAGAACTCCTCCTCATCGCCACGCCGGCTGACGATGAGCCTGCGAATCCCGTTCACCCAGCAGCCGCGCACGAACATGTTCACGAGCGACGTGCCCTCAAACACCGCCGAGGCCATGCCGCGGGCGGCGCATGCCCCTGCCGCCAGGGGCGCCCTCGGCCCCCGCCTGGGGTCCGCCTGGGCACAGTGGGTCCGGGCACTGTGAGCCGGGAGATCAGGAGTTCTCCGTGGGACGCGGTCGATCCCCGCAATGGCGATTAACAGTCTCCGTGGGGAGAAGTCGGTGTCCCGCGGATATGTCCCGGCTCTGCGCGCACTCTGGGGCGGCTACGTGCGGCCCGCGCTCAGGGCGGCGCTGCCAGGAGTCTGTGGGACTGCCCGGGCTGCGGCTTTATAAGGCACTTCCCATCGCGGGCGGCGCGGGCGTCGACGTCGAGTCCCGGCTGCAGCGCCTCCCTCCTGCCTCCCGCTGACCCGCCGCGGGCGGTCCCGGCCCAGAGCTCCACGCTCGGCACCGCCTCCCCAGTCTGCTGGCTGCTAGGCGGGGCGGATCTTGCGCTCTCCCGGCGCGCGGGGCGACTTTCTCCTCCTCATTCCTACTCCTGATCCTCGGGAGTCTCCAGCCCCGAGTTGAACACTCTGCCAGGCCCACGCAGGGGTGGGATCGACACGTCGCTGGAGTCCAGAGTCCCCGGGCGGCGCCGCACGGGGCGGGGACGCCGGCTCATACCATGCGGGAATCGGGGGCAGTGGGACTGGTGCTGGTCCCCGCGCCACCCTCGACCCGCCCGGCCTGGGCCGGGACTCGAGCTGGCCCGCCCCGTGTCCCCTCGGTTACCGGCGTCTCCGCCCCGGGTCCTCCCGCTCATTCCAGTCGTGCCTTAACTTGACAGAGGCTCGGGACGTGGCGGGACAGACCGACCAGAAAGCAAGACCGTGTGGTTCTTAGAAGAGGAGCCACTACGAGATCCGCCAGTCGGCAACCCCTGGGGTTGTCCGCCAAAAGGATATGGAACAGAATTGTAGGGAAAGGGGTCTCCCTGGAAAGAGCGACTCGGGTGGAGCTTAGGAAGTCCCACCCTTGGCAGAGCTGCCCACTGAGAACGAATGCACTGCACTGCTCCCAACTGAAAAACAGTGTATAGCATTAAGAATTGTAGGTTGGTTCCAGACACATTCTTCTGCCTACAACAGGGGAGAAAGACTATGCTTTTTACACGGTTCTGAAGAGTCAGTAATGCCCAGTGTGGAAGAGAGACATTAGAAGTTAGCAACAGGTATCCCTTCTCTGGACCTCATTCACCCCGATTTCCGTTGACCCGTCTTCCCCGGCAGGGGGCGGGTATTTAGATCACCTTTGTCACTGCAGAAACCTGCTGGGCAAGGGAGTACCCCTCCTCCTATTTACGAAAAAGTTCTGCTGAGGCGCTCCTGTGCCAGCCCCCACTCTTGTCTGGAACCATGCTCCTTCTGAAGCTGTCACCTCCCCCAGCATCATCCCCAGGACACCCAGAAGTACGCTCTTTAAACACTCCATCTTTAGGTAGAGTTTGCTGGGAACAATCAAGTCTTCAGTTCAGTTCACTGCTGCTCAAGTGGCCTCGCTGGCCTCCGCTCTGAGCCTGTCATTCCTGAGCGCTGAAGAAAGTGTTTTCTTATTAATAGAAGTTGCTTAAAGAGATCTGGAAGAAAAAGTAGATGGCGGAGTAAAAGCAGTTACTGTTGGGGAGTCACTGGGTAGAACACACTATCTTTTACGCTGATACAGTCTAGAAACTTCATTTTACTACTTTAAAAAAAAAAAAGATGGCATGGGTCTGGAGTGGCTCACATATGTAATTCAAGTAACCCAGGCAGGGGCAGGAAGACCCTCTGAAGATGGAGGCCAAGGTTCCACAGTGCCTTCCAGGTCAGCAGCCTGTGGTACTTGCTGAGTCCCTTCCCTCCTCTCCCTCCTCTTCCTTTCCCCCTCCCCCTCTCCCTTCCTGTCTTCTTCCCTCCCCCTCCCCCCTGTCTTTTCCCCCTCTCCCTGTCTTTCTCTTCCTCTCTTTCCACACACACACACACCCCTCAGAACAAGAATAAACACCAAGCCCCTAGTCCCTATTCTTTTTAAGGTAACGTCTCACTTTGTAGCCCAGGCTGACTCAAACCACTGATTCTTCTGCCTTAGTCTCTGGAGTGCTGAGTTTGGGGCCATGTGCCACCCTGAAATGGTCTTTCAATCATCTTCTTTTTTTTCATATCTCAATTTTTCCCACTTGATTAATAAGTAGAGTGATTTCTGGAATATGTGCATTCCACAGAAACATTTGGGACCTGTATTTCTAACCTTTGAAAATCGGAAGAGTTTGACAAGAACAAATGCATCTGCTTCTAAGGGAAGGGTGGACTTTTTGAGATTGATAGTGATGTTTCCTTTGAAATAAACCCTTGGTAGGCAGCTAGCAGGACTTGGCTAAAACTAAAAATATGTATAACTTATGGCCCAACAACTCCTCCAGGAAGTATGTTTCTCAATTCTAGAAAATACTTGTGTGCACACTAAGAGGTGTGTGGTTACACTCTTTGCTAGTGTGTAGATGCTCATCCAGAGAGAAGCGGGTAAACTACTGGGATGCAAGCACAGGGATCTACCCTATGGCTGCAAACATGAATCAGTTCCAGCTCTGACTGCTGCAATACTGACCTACCGGGCAAGCTGTGCCCATTAGTACAACAGTGCTTTCTTGGGTAATGGGAGCATGTAAGTGGGTAATGCTCCACTATAGGGACTTCATGACTGGTATAGAAACCTGGTCAAAAGCCCATTACTGGGAAGATCACAGGCCCTGGGAAAGGTGATCATTGTGTCACTAAAGGGTGGTGTTGTCAAATTGCAACCTAAATATTATGGTCATACCCGTGGGTGCGTGTTGCTCTCAACTTTAGTTAGAGAAGTCTCTTTTTACAGGGAGTAGTGGTTGATGCAGAGACTTATAACTGGTCTAAGTGCCAAATATAAGTATAGTATGATATAATATAATATAAGCTGTGTGCTCAGCCGTGGATGAGTCATAGGTATTAATATCCCCTCTTCTAAGGCTCAGAGAATATCATAGAAAAGGAGGCAGAAAGAATGTAAGTTGGTAGGTGGGGAGGAGCCATGATATGTTGACTGCTGGACATGACACGGCTGTCGAAAACCTCGATTCACAGGAGCCGTAGTTACTGGCACTAGGCAATGCTTGGGACCAAAGGTGTTTTCTAATATGCACATAGACAGTACCAGGCTGACCATCCCTAATCTGAAATCCAAAATGAGTCGAAATCTCATTTTGAACAGCATCTCAAATTAAGTTGGGACTTTAGAGCAAGAATTCAAAAGCTCTCCAGTGCTGTGGAGGGTAGCAAACACCTTTGAGGGCCGGTGTTACATAAATGTCAGTAATAGATACACAGGATGCGGAGTGGTTTCAGGTTAGAAGTCAAGCTTATTGGTTGATTCAATCCTGGGAGCTACAGAATAGAAGGTGTAAATGGAGAGCACCTCTGGGTCACCTGCTCCTCCGCCAAGCCTGGTGTACAATTACCGAGTTGTATCCAAGGAGGAGCTTTGCTCACAGGTAAGGGCTTTGGAACCAGATACTTCAATTCCATCCATAGGAATAAAAATCGGGTTTGTACACAAGTCTGTGTGGAATTCAAAGCCTGTATTTCGAGAGGAGTGCTTGGATATTCAGTTGAATTTCTTCTGTGATTTGTCTTACTTTGATTTATTTTCTTGATGCTTTTTTTTTCTTCCTCCCTTATCTTTCAGAGTGAAGAGAAGAAAACACAGAGATCGGAAGCCTTTTCCCCAGCTAACCCTGAGTGACCCATATATTTGGCAGCAGACTCCATAAAAGCAGGGACCTCAGAGTTGTGAACAGTTTCAGGGGTTGATGGGTATGAGTTTCATCAGCCCAAGGGCAGAGAGAGGTCATTAATCTTTGACAGAGGAGGAAACCAGGGGTAGGGACCTCCAGAGCAGAGACCTAGCCCCAAACAAAGGTGCAAACTAAACCTGAGTACTCAACCCAGAGCAGGGAGTGAGGATGAGCCAGAACATGTTGCCAGGGAAACCTGGGATCCCATAGAGCCAGTTTTTGTAACCATCCACCCCACCTACTTACCTCTCTAGCCCATCTTCCCAGCCTTCATAGCTGGAGCAGAAGGCAGCCTGATTCCATCCCTCGTTTGGGGAGTTTCGAGACTTTTGCCTCACTAGTTGCTCTGTCAGCAGTATGATGTGCATGTGGACATCCTGCAGTTTATCTGTTTCTCCTCAAAACAGAAGCAATGGGACCTCAGAGTTGTGAACAGGTTTCAGGTACTAACAGGTCTAAGCAGCCCAAGAGCACCTGGAAGAGATCAGTACCCCTTGACACAGGAAGAAGTAGCTGGGGGTAGGGTGGGGGGAGTGGGGCTCCAGATGAGGGACCTAGCCCCAAACCAAGGACCTCTGAGGACCCACTTGATGCAGACTATTCACCCACTATTCTCCTCAGCACCAATGTTCCCAGAATATTGACTTTCCTTCATTGTTCTCAAACACCAAGTATCTTCACATCCAGGACCACACTCAGAGCTGGCTGGCTCTCATTGTGGAATGGCCTTCCTCCATCGCCTAAACTATGGATTCCTATTCACTCCTCCCACAAGTGCTTCTCAATGCAGTGGGCCTGTGAACTTCCCAGGACCTCAATACAAAGCCAACTGTGATGTAGTGTGCCTAAGTGGAGCTTCCACTTCTGCATTGCTGATGGGGACCTAGGGATTTTTGGTAATCTATAATAAGCTGCTCTCTGTAGGTAACATAGCTGTTCATGACACAGCCTCACCTAGTCAGGATGGTGCCAGGAGATGCTTGGTGTCTACATGGGTCCATAGTCATCGTGAAGTTGCCATCAGGTTTATCTGGCTAAAATGAACTCTTTACAGGTCAAGGACTTGTTTCAACCACATCTGATAACCATGTTTGTGTTACCAGTTCCTAGGACCTGGCACTTGGCAAGTGCTCACTGCCTATCTGTTAAACAAGTGAGCCAATGGCACAAAGAACTTTGGAGATAGACAATCTGGCCTTCATATAGAAACTGCTCTTCTTCCCCTTCCATTAATGGGACATTGAAAAAAATTTCACAACCCATTGTCAGCCCTGAGTTTTACTGAAAGCACAAGTTCTATGTATTGAACCACCTCGAAAAGGTACAATGTCCATGGTTACTGTCTCCCAAGAGTAGGACCTTAGAGCGTGAGCTTTTCCCTTATGTGATGGTTGCATCTTCTGATTTTAACCCAAAGCCAGGCATCACTGCTGTAATTGCAAAGTAATTTCAAAG